ATAAACTAATCTAATTCGTGCAAACTATTCTCAAAAATTCCTCCAGTTTGGACAAAATTATAGAAAGACATGCTCAAAATTCGAACTCAATCCGTAACTTCAAGTTACGAACTGTATCCAGCTTAGCAATCTTGACTCTAAATTTTAGTCCTAATTCAAATATCTATATTATAATTTCGAAAAGTCCGTCCCGTGAAATTTTCCGTGACATCCCAGCATTCTGATTGGTTGCCAGCTTCGCGAATCATCAGCCAATCACAGTATGGCTACAATTTCGTTTATGATTATGCTTATGATTTCGGTTATGAATTCGGTTATGATTACGGTTATGATTTCGGTTATGATTTCGGTTATCATTTCGGTTATGATTTCGGTTATAATTTCGGTTATGAATTAGGTTATGATTACGGTTATGATTTCGGTTCTGATTATGGTTATGATGATGGTTATACTTATCGTTATGATTATGGTTATGATTACGGTTATGATTTCGGTTATGATTATGGTTATGATTTCGGTTATGATTTAGGTTGCGATTTAGGTTATGATTTTTCGGTTATCATTTCGGTTATCATTACGGTTATGATTATGGTTATGATTTCGGTTATGATTTAGGTTGCGAAGGGTTAGGTTAGGAGCACCCAGAAAAATATTCCTTAGCAACGTAGAAAGATTTCTTAGCAACGTGAAACAAATCATTAGCAACGATGAAAAGATTCCTTAGCAACGTGAAAATAGATTCTTAGCAACTTTTAAAAAATACCTTAGCAACGTTAAAAAAAATACCTTAGCAACGCTAAAAAATTCCTTCGCTACGTGAAAAAAGATTCCTTAGCAACGCTAAAAAATTCGTTCGCTACGTGAGAAAAGATTGCTAGCAACGTGAAGAAAGATTGCTTAGCAACGTGAAGAAAAATTGCTTAGCAACGTGAAGATAGATTGCTTAGCATCGTTAAATAAACATCCTTAGCAACTTGAAAAAAGATTCCTTAGCAACGTGAAAAAGAATTCTTTAGCAACGATAAAAAAATCCCGAACCAACGTAAAAAAAATCCTTAGCAACATGAACGAAATGCTTCGTAACGTTAAGAAGTTCCCTAGCAACGTTAAAAAAATTCCCCAGTAAAGTGAAAAAAATTCCTTCTCAAGGTTTAAAAAAATCCTTAGCAACGTGAAAAAAAATTCTGTAGGAAGCTGGCAGCTAATCAGAATGCTGGAATGTCGTGGAACGTCTAACGGGACGTTTCGACGTTTTAATATATTTGGATGTATGTATCTAGAATTATAATTTCGGTATAGATTAGTACATCGCGCCCATTATGTAGTGCTTTCATCTAATGTTTTTGGTGTATTGGCTTAAAACTTTACTTGTGGACGGTCTTTAAGACGGGCTTATAGGCTAGTTAGAATAATAACACACATTCCCGAAGCAATCGTCCACGTTGCTATAAACCTTTCCAAATTTGCAAAAGTAACATTTTGGTTAAATTCCTGAGACGTTTTTGGTTTTCTGGAAAATACCGTAAAGTGATTCCACCAAGACAGACCATCCCAGAAAATTAATAGCCCAGACTCCCAAAATGTGCTGTGAATCCTTTGTGCTTCCTTCAGAAAGGTGACGTTAAGAAGGCTATATAACATTAACTTGTGCTCCAAGATTAAAATACTGCAAGGATAATCATCATGCATGTCTGACGGGTCAGAAAACAATCTAGTTTCATCAATCAGATGCGACTCACTGTGCATAAAAAATCCTTCCTTTGTTCTGTTTTGTTTTAAGAATTTAATTACTTTGTGAATTTTGGGCACTATTTTGTACAGAATTTCCACTCTATTCTTATACTCGTTGGTAATATTACATTTTGCAAATTCGGATTGTAATATACCGTCCGCAGCATAACTGGTGGTAGTGGGGAAAACTATTTTATCATACACATTAAGAAATTCGTAAACATTATGATATTCCGGTGGTTTTGATGGGGCAATGACTTTACCAGTAATTAGTGTCTCATACGCAACTGGAATAATCATGCAGGACAGAACGGTCAATGTGTGAAGGACAGTGAATTTTTTCCAGGCTGGCGCAAGAGATAGCATAAAATAAAATATATCTCAACCAATAACATTTTTACTTCCCAAGTACCGCCCATCTTTCGCAGAGAGGCCGTCATTGATCATATTAGAGATCAATGGACACTAATTTCGTCAAAATGGGGTAGAATACGCTGGGAGGTATACATTTTTCTTATATTTTGCCCGATTTTTATGAATTACTCGGTGCTCGGCCGAGTACTCGTATCAAGAATTGCCGAGTACTCGGTACTCGGCCGAGTCTTATTTTTCACCACTCTGTGCATCCCTACACACAACTAATAACATTAGGAATTTCAAGCTCGAAATAATTTCTCGATGTTCCACCAATTTTCAAATGTCCAAATGTCTCTTAAACGTGAGACCCCTGGGGAAAAAATACATGCTTCCAAATTTTCTAAATTTCGACCACACCGACTCTAACCAAGGTCACAAAGTTAAAAAACTTTCGATATTTTCCGGCAATAATAACAAATTATTCTGATTTACACAATTATCTTTTGATCAAAATTATCCTTTGATCAAAATTACCGTTGGCAATCTACACAAGTGCAAATATATGAATATAATATGTCACATATCATATCGCTCAGAAAAATAAAGACCACGCCCACCAGGGGGTGTGGTTTCCTGCGCTTTTGTAATATTTATTTCCAAATAGTGTAACGCGTGACATAACATTCTTCATAAAGATAAAATAAACCCGGTCACAATGTCTAACCGACGATATCGCAACCCCTGGTGCAGTTTTTGTACGCAGGTGTGCGATTTTATGATTTCCTTCAGTAAGCGTGGCTGCTTTTGGTGATTTTTTTAGATCAAATGCTTAAAATCAAAAAGTCCCTTAGAAACTAAACCCTCTTCTAAATTATGAGCATGCGTTACTTCAGATTCAAACTTCGCTAAAAACCGCACCCACTTGACGTTGGAGCCTTTAGTTTCTAATCTAAATTATAGACATCCTACCTATTTCACTTCTTCGAGCTGAGCAAAATGACATATCACAAGGTCGTGTGTCTTTAAAGTCGAAAAGGCGCCGTGAACCACTCCTACTTGGGGAGTAGTTTCTACATTTTTGCATTTGTCTCGAGTTTACCTCATTGGGCTTAGAAAAATGATATGTCGCAACCCATGTGTTGCTAAAAATTCGAAAATGCGCCGAGGGCACACCCACTTGGGGTGCGGTTGATAAATATAAATTATTCAATTTTGATTCATTAACCGGGATGAGAAGAATGAGCTGTCACACCGCTTCGTGTCAATAAAGTCAAAAAACGCTGAAGGCCACGCCCACTGGGGGTGTGGTCTATAAAATCGAGTTGTTTTATAGAGAACCCCTCCCCGAGCTGAGAAAAATGACGTATCACATGATATATATGATTTGGTTTAAATCGAAAAGTCGCTGACGACCACGACCACTGGAGGCGAGGTAAGTGCATATGTGACCACTTGAATATTGCGTAAGATGACCTGAATGTTGAGGTATTTTTTAGACCTGCAATTCGACGTTTGTGTTTTGAATTTCTAAGCCAGTAATTATGTAACAGTATCAAATGGGTGTGGTCGATTTCGAAAAATCTGCAAGTATATATTTCGCCAATGGGCTTACAGTTTTTAAAACACTGCGAATTTTGAAAATCGGGCGACAACTGAAAAATTCCCAATATCAGTTTTATTGACCAAAATCAATAAAACTGAAATTTGAAATTTTTTCAGGTTGCAACTTTGCAAGTTCGGCCATTTTACCTCTCATCAAAAATTGTACTCTTCTTTTAATGTTCACACCAGATTATGGTAGGGATACGAATGCGGGAATCAAATTTTGATGGAAGTTACACTTCGGAAGTATTATTCAGAATTAAATAATCGAGTAATTTTGGTGTTGCACCCAAATTCTTAATTGCGTTTGTGTGGAGTTGTAGTTGTGTTTAGTGAATATATCCACATACGCAGTTATCACCTCCTGCCCAGAACTAATCTTATTGCAAATTCCAAAGTTTAATTTTAACATGCACAGTGCCGAATTAATTAAGTAGGCACTTATGTAACTACAAATTTTTCTACATATTTACCGTAAATAATTAATTATTTACTGTCTCAATTCATTTATGTAAATACTTGCCGTACAGTTGATCTAAAAAATTTGGAAAAAATTACTGCTTAAGGTTCATTCATACTAGACAATAAAATACCAAGTAAAAAAAATATTAAATAAATCTTAAACAATTATTTATCAAAATAGTGCCTTCGGTGTGTCGAATTTCAAAGGGTTGTCCTACGCATTTGTCCTACAAAAAAACAATACATATGTGTTCTGTTCCTACGTATTGCTACAAGTAGTCGGAATATGTAAAGCCCAGTTAACAATATTTTGACACTCCAATATTTGTAGTTTTAACAATCTTATATCAATTTCTTTCAAAATTTCACGAGGTCATATAACACAACTCTTCGTCTGGCTGCGCCAAGTTGTAAAATTTAATTTAATTTTTCCCAGGTTTAGTAAATAATTAATTAGCACAGCTCTGCACCCAATTACTGGAGATAAGATGCACTCAATAATTTTGCACACACGTCGATACGTATGACGTTGTTGGACATGCCAGCCACGTATGCATGAACTAAATGCAGATTCACACTTCACTTTTTGCATGGCAACTAAATTATTCAACTCTTGAGTTCTCAATAAGGGACCATTCATATATTACGTTATGAAAAATTGTTGATTTTTGAACCTCCTCCTCTAAATGTAAACATTAACGGATAGAGAATTTTTAGATGGAAAAGATAGAAAGACCTAAACCACCCACCCACTAAAATGATGACGTAATATATGGACGTTCCCTATATACGTTATTTACGTTGCCAAAATGGTTATAGATTAAACCATCGACATAACAATGGAATATATTGCTGGCTGGCTGGGTTGGTGGCTTTGTTGAGAATTTAGCCTCTCCTTTTCTCTCTTCCCTTTTCGACGAGAGAAAAAGGTGGCTAACTTCATTAGTTTTAGTGTGACGGGCTAATCGACGGGCCTTTTCTGTACATCGATCGACGTGCTAAAAAGACATTGGACCACAGTGAATTTGAAAGTTGGATATACTTCCAGAAATGTTTGTGATTCATCTATTAAAACCGCGTCATTTTTCTGTTTCACTTTCCTGAAAACAGTTGGCGGATGGGCCAATTAAACGCATTCGAAAAATGAATCACATTTCCCTTGTTGCACTGATTTTTAAAAGTAGAAACGTTTTGAAACTACCAATAACGAAAATATAGAAATTCAATTTTTGTCTGTAAAGTTTTGTCATAATTTATGACAAAATCAAATAACCTATATTGTGCATTTTCTACGTGCAGTTTTTTGGGCTTTTGTGCATTTCTATGGGTCCCGCATGCATAAAAATAATTTCGTGCGGACAAAAATAAACACTACTAGGTATTCATGGCCATAAATATATATAACTGCCATATTTTTAAACCCTTTCCCAAACTCGCCCAAAATAAAGGGTATCTCCGAAGGGTACAATCGGTGAATGCGGGAACGTCCATATACTACGTCATCGTTTTAGTGGGTGGGTGACTTAGGTCTAAAATTATCTATCCCTTAATGTTTACGTCGCTTGAGTGGTGCTAAAATCGAGAACTTTTGATGACGAAATATATGGGTGGCCCCTGTGTGAGCGACTTAGCAAACAACTGGACCATGAGAATCCTTTTTTCACCAGGTATTTAAAATACAACAACCTGACCACCCCACTCAAGTTTATTCTTTCCCACAATGGGGGTCTCCCAACGTATGCTGGCAGATTTGGACCAGACTAGCGTCAATCGATCACAAATATAATTAGTATGAAATTTGCAAATGGCACTATCTGCCAATGCGCAGGTTTAACGGAGATATTTGCATAAAAACAGGAGAAAACGCACTCCCAAGGCTGGTAAATTTGTAATTTTCCAAATTTGCTGCGCCTTTTTCACACTTTTTATGCAAATATCTCTGCCAAACCTGCGCATTGGCAGATAGTTCCATTTGCAAATTTCATACTAATTATATTTGTGATCGATTGACGCTAGTTTGCTCCAAATCTGTGAGCACACGTTGGGAGACCTCCATTGTCAGCATTTCTATAAATATCTTGAAAGCATGGGAAAATATTCGGGCCAATGGCACGCCATGTTTAATCACACCATGTGCTCCCCCGTTTTGCTGTGTGCTCTGTCTTCTCACCATAATTTCATAGTTTGCTGGAACTTTAGAGATACAAAAATTCACTAATTTATCAAAATTTGGAGTGGTACATAAATTAAATCTGATTAAAATTTAATACATAAACAATCTTCCTGATAATCTATAATTCTTCGTTTTAGCTGCGAACTAAACAAACTGCCAGGAAAAGCACGGGTGGACCGCCTCTAATTCCCAGGAGAGCATTGGTTCGTTTTCCAACAATTTAATTTCAATCATTTTAATTTCAACATATTTATTAAGGTGATAATTTTACTCCGTACCGTGCTAAATTTACTTCAGCTTAGCATGGTTTGCCTGAATGTTTACGGTGTTAGGTTTCCACATGCAAGGTTATAATTTTGGTTGCAATATTATTTCCGTGCCGGTTATGATTTTATGTGGATTTTAACACCGCTTTGTAAAACAAACAAAATTATGTTTCCTAGAAAAACTCAGGCTGGTGTAAGTTTGCAAGGTGTAAGTTTGCAAGGCAAAACATTTTGCAAACAAAATTTTGCTATGAAGGCAAAGTCAAAATGAGTACTCCAAATAATCTACCATACTTCCTCATCATGGTTTCGATTGGTAAAAACCAGGGTGCATAAACTTTTTGTTGTCCGTGGTTTCTCCTAAGGGGGTGATGCCAGGATGAAAATTTTTATTCAACAATTTAAAGTTGGGGAATTTCATGCACTTTTACCATGACAACCACCCAAATCCATTGCAAAATTGTATACAATTCCCCAACTTCAAGTTTTTGAATAAAAATTTTCATCCTGGCATCACCCCCTTAGGAGAAACCACGGACAACAAAAAGTTTATGCACCCTGGGTAAAAACCAAACTGACCATGGCAGCGCGAAAAAGAAAGAAAAATGCACTTTTTACCACCCACCCAAAATAGATGGGAAATGGGAAAAATTGAATAAATCTGGTTTGGGGCAATCCGAAACAACTTCTTTAAGACTTAAAATTTGTTTTTAATTTTACTTTATTCTGCATAAAATTCGGAGAAAATAAACTGATGATTCGGGTGAATTCGAACAATCTAAAATTAACATGTAGTTCTCGTATCGAAAAACTGAATAGTAATCAAAATCGTTCAAAATTGCCTGTATTACATGGCAAAATGTTCAGAAATGTATGCATGGAATTGACGAATATCAAGGTCAATTCCGAAAATATTGATAATTAAAAAAGTAACACTTTGCCACAACTAACTACACATGTGTAAATATGGGAACATCTACATATTTTCCATTTTGGACGGTAAAAACAATTTTTCCCACCAGCGTGGTAAAAATTGTTTTGGACGGGAATAACGAAACCCTATTTTTCCTTGCAAATATGTAGCCCAGGCGAGGGAGACCTAACAACCGGGTCGCTGGAGGCCGGCCGGCGCCCAACCAAACGGATACCCAACAGGTAGAAGAAGAGTGAATATAGTATCAATTATTTTAAAATTTACGTATGCACACACTCTAAATAAAAATCGTAAAATTAGCTATAGGTTGAGCAAAAAGGGGGGATGGCACAACCAAAAGGTGCAAGTTGTCCAAAGTTGTGCAAAATTTGTCCAAAGTTGTGTAAAGATTGCCCAACGGACGGATAAATTTGGCACAACATTTGATAAATTTTAACATTTGGTTGCGCCATCCTCTTCTCTACCTAACCTTAAGTAAATTTTACTTTTTTTGATTTAGAGTGCATAATTCAAAATATTTATTTATTTACTACTCATTTTTAGCGTGTCATGTTACGCACCCGTGAAACCGCACGAAGATCTGGACCTACAAAACTTCAAATGGTATGCGAATTGTCAACTAATAAAATTTAACAGTTGATGACCTTATTTTGACATTTTGTGACCTTTGAGGGCAAATTAGGTCACAATTAAATTCGGGGTTAACTTTCAGTTGAAATTGGTATATGTATGGAGTTTAACGGTTGGTGAGGTTTTAGTGACATCGAACAAACCTTGTCTGACCTTTGAAAAAACAGATAAAACGCCGCCTTTATGCACACGGACCTGTGTACTCCGTTTAACAATCTAAAATATCTCTAAAATTATTTTATTGCATTCTTCATAGCTCGTCTGGGAACTAATGAAGATTCGAGGTGACCAAAATCTCCCGGACGACCCAGCAGCTGTCGATGTGGAGGGAGGAGCAGTTGCCTCTATCATGTCAGGCACCCGAAATGCAGAAAAGCAAGACGACGAATACGACACTTACTGCAAATCCTTGGCGCAAAAATTCCGAGTGATGGGACAGTCTGATAGAAGAGGCTACTTGGAAGTTCAAAACACTATAAATCGTATCGTCCATCAAGCCGATATGAACTCTTTATTGGCCGATTGATAGATTTTTCTTCATTATTCACACGACTTTGTGGGAACTAATTAAATAAATCTGTTCATACGAATGTTACCTCATGCTTGCTAAATTTCCTAAACTTAAGACATTCTAATCATGTCGTAATATTTAATTAAAATATTTGATTAAAATATTGACAGGTGAAATAAAATGTTATCACTTGTCCCCATTAAAAAAGGTGTTAGTCAACAGCCATGAATAAAATAACAAAGGAATGTCACTCTGTTTGTCATTTGGGATAATAAGTTATCGCAACTTGCTGATTACCATGCTCAATCATTAAACGTTGTCACGTAGTACGCAGAATGTCAATCAACCTTCTTCCTCCGATTATGATTCAATTCTAGTTTGCGTAATGGTTCTGGAATTATCTGGATGGCTAATAAATACCCATATTTCAATGTACCCCGGATTTGCATAATTTGTTCTGCATAATGCAATTTTGAATATCTACCCTAGTAGCACAAACTTGGGAAATACACAGGAAAACACCAGTCCACGGACACGAAATCTCGTGGTTAACAAATGAAGATTTGGTGTAAAAGATGATGAATTTTGGGGGTTATTGTCGCCGTTTTGCGGTGTCAGACTCGTGTCAAATTCGTGTATAACACGTGTCTAGGACAGAAATAATATGTGTAAAACTCGCGTTATTCTCGTTTAATTTTCGGGTTTATGCATTACTTAAACACGTGTTTTATGCTAAATAAACACCAAAAATTGACCCAATTTATCCCGTTAATGACATGACTTTACTTCATTTTAATTATTACAATTAAGGATAAAAAACTCAAAACAATGATAATGTAAATATTAAAAATTACGTTATCCGACTCCTCATAATTGAACCCTTATTGTTGGATCCTTGATCCCACCCATAACTTTCGATTTTGTACCTCTCATACTTGTGGCGCTATCCTGATTATCTGAAAAGAATAGATTTCTTATTGCATACGTACAAAGTGCACATATAAAAATATGATCGACGTGTGTACATATTTCAAATGAAGCTTACCTAAGCATAGTTTTTACGGCATATTATTTCTTGATGTTTTAGTTCTGCTAGACTTCACTCCTGTAATCGGCTCCCGTTCAGTTGATTCTTTCAGCCCAGCTTTTTTTAAATCGACAAAAAGGTCAAATTAATTAAAATGATTAATTTAAGATGAATTAAAATGCAGCTATTGGTTAATAATTATGGTAGAAATTACAAAAATGGTTGCTAATCATGGGCAGACGTGGTATCTTATTAGAAACGAGTGAGTCGTCGCCATCCCCTCAAGAAGTGTTCGGCACACCGATAGGTTGCTGTAATATAAATGGCAATTGAAAATAATCACAATTAAACGCAACACCAGATATACATACACGAGTTTGTTTAAAATTACCAAATTGATGTCCACTTGATTGGCCCAGGTTTTGATAACAAATAAATATTTAACACTGAAGATGGGCACGGAGTCGTGTATGTAAAAGTTAATAATATCTCGAAACTGTAGTTCGAGGAATTTTAATATTCACATTTAGTATTTTACACTCCCTATCAGCACTTAAAACACATAATTTAAATAATTTGTGCTGAATCTTTTTGTAAAATTCAGAACAATTTCACTCTTAGCAAAACGGTATTGAATCAATTTGATTCATCACCAAACGGAATGCATATATGCCTTAACCGGAGCGGTGATAACGGGCAACACCGCATAGTGAAAAATATACACCGTTGTGGTGATGAAAACTCACCACTTGGAATCAAACTATCACCATCCCGGGGAGAAATTATCACCAAATCAATACCATCGCGGAGTGTATATATGACTTCACCACTTTGCTAAGAGTGTAGCAAAGTCGACTGGAGGCTTAGAATACGACCACGGCGAGTTTAGCCATGGCATAAATGGAGTCGAGGCATGAATCTCCCTCTTTACCAATCGTCTGTGCTTGCCGTAAGGGGGATCTCACCAATGCAACCATACACCATTCTAACACGTATTAGACACGAGTATTTGCCACCAAAAATACACGAATATGAAACACGAGTTTTGTCTTAAAAATACACGTGTTTCTGAACATGGTGGATTTTGGTGTTATGCAGCCGAGAAAAACACGAGTATCCAATATATTTTACACGAGTTTGACACGAACCCCAAATTGCCACGATTATACCCCAATGGAGCACGTGTATTTCTCGGTCTGTGCTGCTAGGGTAATTCCTAATTATGTAAACGACGAGGTATTTCGCATAACCCGTGTCCTCCATGGTGTTGTAGTGCATTTTTATTTTAGCTACACGAGTAGAATTATTAAAATGGGGTGCTTCCATATGTCAATTAGGAATTGTTAACCCTGAATAATGTCCTTAAGAGTTCGGATTGTCGAGCGAATATAATTTTCGATATATCAGTTTTACAATGGAGATGTGCCGTCACGACGTGTCAATTAAAAATTGATATATTGGCATGTCACAAATGTCAATTGGTCAGACATACTGTTGAAATAAGTACAAGCAGCTCATGGGTGTTACCAAAATGGGTAAGGATAACTAAGATTACGGTCTACGTATTCGATTTATATGAACATGTATGCGTATTTACATATTTGATTATCGTCTATCAAGTAGTTATAAATTTATTATGTCAAATAGTATTATGTAAAAAGCTAATTTATGTCAGATGCATATATGTACAAATGCATACGTGCGTCATGCAATGCCTCATTCATCATTGATGCCTTATCTTACATTTGTCAATTATGTTCCTCAATTCCGGAGATTATATTGTACTGACCCAGAGGTCGACGCCGATGGTACCATCGGCGGCGGCGGCTTGAATTTCACTAAGGGTCGGCGGCGGCGGCGCGCCGCGCCGCGCCGGTTTTTTGCCGGCGGCGGCGCCAAATGTTAAATATTTTTCTAATAGCTTTTAAAGAGCTATGTTGTACTTTTTCACTCGAAAAAACGCAGTCGGGTAAAAAATATATGTGCGCAATCTTTTATGTGTTTCCACATGTCATAGTTTTAAACCCTTATATGTACATAAAATCGTTATGTCTCCCGGTCTATTTCTGTGCACGTGGGGAGATGTAGGATGAGGGTCCACTGATAACGTCAAAGGTAAAAAATGGAAAGCACTTTTTAAGCTAAAATTATAACATCTCCGATTTTGACAAAAGCATTCTCATTTTTTAGCGTCTAATAAAATTTCACCTATTTTTATAAAGCTGCAAGTTCGTTTTGATTATGTCGCATTACTTCAAGACATTGCTCAGAAATTCTGAGTCAGAATTATTCGGGGGTTTTAACACTACCGCGTTTTTCAATCTTTGTAATTTAAATTTAACATTTTGAAGATTAAGATCTCAATTCTTTAATTAAAAAAGATTTCCACCCGCAAATTGTGGAAATTAAATATATTTGCATAGTAAACTTTGAAAATTTTTGGAAAGTTATTTCGGGTACAAATTCCTAGTTTCGTGATAAAATAAATCTTTATTATCGCGTTTTCAAGCCATTATACAGACGCGAATTTAAGGTTACGCCAAAATAAGTAACTTATCTTCAAAAGCGCAAATTAATTCAAAATTTAGCTGGTAAAAATCACGCAAAATTTTTCCTATTTTTCAGAAATATGTATTCTAATGTTATTCTAATATATTGTATTTGTCATAAATAAGAGATCATCAAATGAAAACTCTAGTCTGGGACTAAAAATGTTGTTGAAGGGTGTCTTTTGTAATTATAATTAGACCAAAATCTAGTATTCAAGCCAAAATAAAATCGGCGCCAATTTTTTTCCGCGGCGGCGTCGGCGCGCCGTTAATTTTTTTCGGCGGCGGTGGCGGCGCGTAAAAAAGTACCGGCGCCGGCGGCGTCGGCGGCGTGTGATCGGCGGCGTCGACCTCTGTACTGACCAGACTCATGAGATAAGGCCATGAAGTAATTTACTTATGTATATTAACCTAGTTGAAGTTTCAATTGTGTCACAATCACCTCCGAAAGCCTCACAACTTCAACACTGTCCATAAATTGCTTCATTTTCCTTAAAAAACACCATGTCAAACACTCTCCATTCCGCATGGATACTATTACTTTGTACATGTTGTTTTTATGTAAACGCACACCCGCCGCCAAACGAGCAGCTCACCCTGGTAAATATTTTAATTTCAAAAACCACCTGACATAGATACATAGGTACACTCTTAGGATTAGAAATAGGGTTAAGATCATAACCAAAAAGTAAACGTATGTGACTCTACCGCCGTGGTTATAAATTTGTCATCGAGTGGTTATATGTATGTAATTGTCCCCGACTAATTACAAAGTTTGACCGACTTGGTATTCAATGGTCACCAGAGCTAATGAATTTATAACCAATTGGTGACCAATTCATAACCACGGTAGGTTTACTTTTTGGTTATAATCGTACCCCTATTTCTAAGAGTGCATTCTTTGCCCACAACATAAATAAATACGTATTTTATCCTTTTTTAGTACGACGTTTTATACAATGGGACACGATTAGAGTGGATCTACCATCGAAACGGGGTCGGTTACTATATGACGCCAGGCATGCGCGCGGATGTCATCGACTCGCCCCGCCAACGGTTTAACGTCACCACGTCACATGTCCCGACGACGACGACGCGTCCTACCACGACGCCACGCCCATCGACAACGACGCCAACTGATTACACCACTCCCGAACCTACGACGGAGTATACAACCGAGGCAGCGACCGAGAGGACGACCCAATTTCCTCCGGGGTCAACCTGGTTCCTGACGAACGTGACTGAATACGCGGCCATCGTAGATGACGTATTGTCAACAAGTAATGCCATCGGGTATTTTCTTATCGTTCCGGTGGACGAATCCGAGGACGAGTTCAACATAATGGATGTGAACACCCAAGAATTCCTTGTATCTCCGAGAACCCGACCGCCCTTTGATTTCCTGCTGGAGAGCCAATATCCTGCCGAACCACGCGCAATATTTTCCCTGGCTCCGTACAAATTCCATCTGAATTCGTCGTACAGTGGTAAATTACTAACTAAACCGGCATACACCAATATAAGAAAGTAGCTTCAGACTGTGTTCGCCCCAATCACTAACACGACATTGCGGGAACATTCGACTTCATAATTTGAACTATTGCGGTGAATCGAAGTCAACCGGATAAAAACTCTTCCGCTGTTGCCCGTCCTGTTGAGCACGTGGTTGAGATGAACGACCAGTGCCGCAATAATTTAGTTGTGCATTGCTATCACTATGCTTCGATTACTGTAATCAGGCTACGGCACTTTCTCAGAGCGGGCGTCGCTTAAGCTCAATGCCGGTCAATTTTAAATTTGAGTCTATCCGGTTGAATTCGACGCACCGCAATATAGGTTTAATTTTTGTAGAAATCTCATTTTGCACCAACCACACCTTTGGCGCCAGGGGGTGGTCCGATTTACCCCAAAATTTGATGGGATCCCTCATGGGGTCATGCGTATAAATAATGTCTAAAACCGGATTTCGATTATCACGATCCATTCTTCCGTTATCCTGCTGACAGACAGACGGACCGACAGACACATAGACAGACGGACGGGCAGGCAAACAGGCGGAAAAAGTCTTCGTATAAAGTGCCTGAAGCTACTTAATAAAGTTTCAAAATCGTAAATATGATCTTAATTAAGGTCTCACATGTTTTTCCTTTTTTTATTTCAGGCGATAGAGCCAGCATTGGAGACACGCTGGACGAAATTTCTTTAATACCTGACCAAACCGAGAAAATCGAAGCCTTTGTTGGGTTAATTGGTCAAATGAATTATTTCAACCATATCTCCGGCGGTGAAGAAATATTCCAGGTTGGGCGCTATATTCAAACACAAATTCCAGAGTATTGGACAACCCAGCCGTTTCGAATGCTACCACCCGTAACACAATTAATTATTGAGAGTACCAGGTTAAACACAAATTTGGCCCTGGTTCTCCACCCCTCTGATACAAGTTCCATACCCATCAGTATTGTAACCGGGTTAGCCACCCCGGGACCTATTTATCCTTTCAATTTAAAAGTGCTCGCCAACTATCGGTCAAGCTATCAAGTTTTTTCTGGTCAAAGCACCACCAGAGGATGGAGAATTGATCCCAACGTCGTGTTATTCATGTCCACAAACCCGAGCATTTTTGAGTTTGCTTTTTCTGAAAATTCGATTGAAACCATTCAAATAAATCATGCAGACCTCCCTCTCAATTATTTTTTGGACGAGGACGGCAATTTCAAATTTTGCTGGATTTGTGGAACCCCTGCTACTTTCACAATTACAGAATACACGGTTAAATTAGGCGATATGTACGAAACCGAAAATCGCCAAGACATTCCAGAAATTTCTGGCATAATTGGAAAGTACGGCGGGACAGAGGCTGCGGACCTATTTGTCCAACTAATCGATAATATGACCCTTAACAACCATGTGACCGGTGGCCCAGAAATATTTTCGGTTGGGCGCCATATTCAAACATACATTCCGGACTATGTGACGGCACAACCCTATCAAAAATTACCGGAGATAACCCGTCTAATACTTGACGGATCATCCGGGTCTTACATAAACTTTCAAATAAACCTGATAACCACGGCTGGCGACACATTTCCTGTTACTGGCGTTACCGGGATCACCAAACCGAAACCGATTTATCCATTCAACGTGCAAACTCGGCCACCAGTTTTGGAAAAGTATACCACATTTATTACCCCGCTAACAGAGAGTTCCACCAGGTACTGGACAACCATATCGGGAACACTAGCGATAACTACCAACTGGATGGATGCAACTCTGTTTGACTACCATTTTCCTGCTGATTCCACACAATACTTCCATATTTCCGCAAACGGCACCAACTTTCTCGAGTATTTCAACGATCCTGATGGGCATTTCAGATTTTGTGCTGCATGCTCCCAAAACGTGGCAAGGTTTTCCATTACCCGTCACGTTTTAAATGTGGACGCCATGTATGGGCCAGACAATAGGGAAGACATCCCCGAAATTGGGTATGTCATCAATAAATTTGAAAACGTTAGTACCAACGCTGACACCCATTTTGTCGAGCTATTGACCCGAATGACGGAATATGGACATATTTCCGGGCGGGAAATATTTTCTGTGGGAGCACGTGTCAAAACCTTTATTGGTGAAGCCAGTCCTTCCTTCTCCCTTCTGCCGGGGATGGTCCAATCCGTGCTGAATTCCAACTTATCCTGGACATTTGTCCAGGATGGGGCCGAATTCCCGATGAAGTATCATTGGGCGTCGGACCTGCATGAAAATATTCTGAGGTACGAGTTTCGTTGGAGAAGTCCATCCTTGACGTCATTTTCTGGCATTATGTTCGACATTTTATACGGAATTGGACAAGTTCAACTTCAACAGTTGTTCGTGAATCCGGTGACGATGGAACTAATTCAAAAATTATATCAGGGAACGGCCTTGTACGAGTTTGAGCTAGAGCTTCGGGAAGGTTTAAATTTGATTGGGATTTATTGGCGGGGGATTCGACTAGGGACGCGGGATGAAGTGCCGGATTTCTATTTTCAAGCTAGTAATGATAATACTCCGAGTTGGTTTAAGATTTATGATTACGAGAAATGATAATGATAATGGACTTCTTGATAACAATTTGGAACCAGGCTTACCTACTATTTGAACAACTGCATCCCAACAGGAATAATGTTTATGTCGTAGATTAGGTTAAAATTAAATATACTTACGTACAAAATAAAATGCGCAATTTAAAAAGGATTACGTTGTTAATTTTCCAATCCGCCAATGCATATGCATAAACACTTATTTATAATCATCGATACATCGAGTCATCTGTTTGTACAACGTACGATGGATCGAATGATCTTCCTGCTTTCAAACTCCGTTATTCCTTGCAGGAGAAATTAAGTATAAACTAAGGCACTAGAAAGCTATAATTTCCCCTCGTAATATTAAATGCCTAGCAAGTAGAGGTCGACGCCGACAAATTTTCGGCGGCGGCGGCGCCAGTTTTTTTTCCGGCGGAGGTGGCGCCAGTTTTTGTTGATTTTTCGGCGGCGTCGGCGGCGCGGCACGGCGTCCCAATGCTGATGGTATAGGAAATCAAATTAGTCGGGTATGGTCGGGGGCGTTGACCTATGCTAGTAAGTCCACACTAGAAGTAGTGATGATAATGTATTTCTCGTGGTAGCAAACGATTGAACCCCCCCCCCTCCCGCCAGTATTGTGAGACGTACAAATGTACAGATTTTTAAGAAAGGGTGGTCGCAACTTTCCCCAATTTGGTAACCATTTTGTTTGCTTAGGATGAATTAAATATTTACATAAAACAATCTTTACTACATATATTGTCTCAATTTATTCCATAGAAGTACGCATTTAAATTATATTTTGTGGCATATATTTTTTAGTGCTATTTAGGTTGGATTGAGAATCCACATACATAGATCCATAAGAAACTTCATAACCGAAATCAAAAATCATATCCGTTCCGTGATTGGTGGAACCAGGAAGCTGACAGCCAATCGGGTGGTAGGAATTTCACGGAAAATTTGACTGGACGGAGTTTTCGAAATTATAATAAACGAAAAATAATCACAACAGGAATCTCGAGGGCACACAAAATTTGTTTTGTTAAGATTTGCCGTTAGTAAGTGATTTTTGCGAGTGGCACCGTGCTTGGTGCAATAATTGCTTAACTAGAAGCTATCAATTTTTCAATGAATCAATTATTATCCCTTTGCTTTTTATTTCCTCGTTTAATTCATAAAAGTTACAGGAAAAATAATAAATTATTTGCAGTTAAAAAAGCTTTTCAATGTTGTGCCATTTTTGAAACATCCCGTGTAAAGCAGGGTAACAAGCTTGGATAGAGGGTGTTCCGGAAGTAATGCAACTTTGGTCAAATGCACATATAAACTCAACGAATGAATTTTTTAAAGCGAAATTTTGGTCAGAAAGGGACAAAGGTTAAAGCTAATTAAGTTTTGCTTCCAATGGTCCGTACACCCCTTCCGCCAAATTTGGAGACGTTTTTGTTGGGCGCTCACAATTAGTGCTTCGCCACTGTTTTTGGTCACCTTTTTTGAGATTTTTGACCACATGTGTTGAAATAAGTTCAAATTTTTGACTGAAGTTTTTCGATTACAATATTTTTTCTAGGATAGGAACTAAAATTTTTCAATAGGTCTTGTATTTGGCAAATTTGGGAACGTTGTTCATCTCTCCCATGTTAATTGCATTTGATCCGTTTTAAGGCGGAGCGTGATACTTTGGCTTATATTTAATTTCCAGTTTTGCATAAATGGTTTTCTTGAAGGTGGGAGAGTTGTACTATGTGCAAATAAAAGCATTTTGATAATCTGAGCAGTAAATCGTCTTGTACAGGACGATCAATTTTGGTTAATTTTAATTACTTCAGGTCAAGGATTTTTTCTGCCCTCCTGCTTGCTACTTTTATTTTACTCTTGACTATATTTATAAGCTTCTAGAACCTTCTAGGATTTGATGTCCAACTTCTAAGCTTTCAAATAATGTATGGTGTTCGGTGAGAACTTCAAGTACTTCAGCGAATTTCGAATAAATACTGTTTTATTTGATACTATAAGATAATGACAACCCAATTAAATTTACTTATAAAATTAAATTAATAATAATTTACCAAGTACTTTAGATGATGATAAAACACAATCTTATATTACGATTCCTTCAGCAGACCCGGAATACATACATATTTCCAGCTGGTAAAATTTTGATGATTGCTCTTGCAAAGAATTTTAGATTGGCTGTCGAACATGTCTGGATCTAAAGGGAATGAAAGGAAAATCATATTAAAATATAGAAAGTACAGGATTAATTAGAACTTAATTTTTACCCTTTAACTTCTACTTACCTAATCTCGATGCGATTTCTAGTGTGAGAAACATGCTGCTGAGCAATTACAAATTACATTAAATAACATTGGAATACAGATTAACAAAACATTTAATTTAAATAATTTACTTACGATAAACCATTGACGAAAATTTTGCTTCAACAGGATTCACGGTCAGCTCTGTTTTAATTTCGCCCTGTACACAAAATTCGACGTTAGGAGTTGTCTTATATTTTCAAATAAATATTAAACACTAAAAAACAATTTTTACCTTCGATTAAAAGTTCCGGATAGGCAACAATTGGTTTTCCGCGTGAAAATTTCAGCAAACAATTAAATACGAAATATGGCACTTTGGTGAGGAGTGAAACTTAAAAATGACTCAACGCCACTGGCGTAGCTTTATTGAGTCTAAACATAACCGGCTGGTGTAGAATGATAAATAAATCTTAAACAAACATCACCAAATAGTTAAATAAATTATAACCAGCCAATTTGCAGGCTGCATGACAATCGGGTTACAATATTGGTTAAAATGAAACATAACTTTTCCGTTATAATCGTGACCATGTGGCAAAAAAATTATACCGATGATGTACACCGAATGATTATCGGATCGGTTTTAAAATTTTTGCACATTTGGTTATAATCTGGTTATATTTTGCTTAAAATGATGGTGATAGTCGTTATCACCAAAGGCTTGGTGATAACGTTTATAAGGAAATTATAACCACACTTCTGAGAGTGCAGATGTTGACTGTATTTTCCAAAGTGGAGTGGAAATATCCCACTTAGCAATTCAAATGCACAACTAAAAGGATATTAGCATAATAACGACTTTTTTTTAAAAGGAAGACAAATGTTTCTACATTTATTATAACACCTTCTCTCCTGACAATTAATTGGTGCACTATCGTCTTCCTGCTCGTGCGTTATGGGTCAATTTTGCGAATCGAATTCTGGAATTTGCGTTGTATTGTCTAAGACGTTTTTGTTGTAACATGCGCTTCCTTTTGTACAAATTGTTAGATTTTGAGTGAGGCTTCTATTCCAAACAATAGGGCAAGCAAATTAAGTAATATTTTATGCAAGTTATTTACATATGTACATACATATTTATGTATATAATACAATACATACCTGCTGATATCTTCGACGTCGACTTCGGCCGGCAGGTTCACCTCCGGCAGTCCGACAGTTTCTTTTCAGTTTTATCATCTCGGCTCTATACTATACATGTCGATAGGCATACCATGTTAAGAGACGGTACTATTTGGTCTTTAATCAAAACCCGAACCGACCCGAAACCGTTCGGGTTCTGGTTCGGGTCGGGTTTGCAGGGTTGGACCCGAAACCGCGCTCACCTCTAGGTTACACTTCACACCATCGCATTGTTAGTGCTATATACATATTTATATACCCACATTAAACGGAAGATGCAATTCATACCATTCCATTCGTATGACCAAAAATTTAAGTGAACACTTCGTTGAATTTAAGAACTATAATCTACAAGTTAATAACGTTAAATACTCCCAAAGCTTGGGTGGGACAAGCGAATACTGCCATGTGTTATCTAGTAGCCATAAATTATGTTTTAGTTAAAGATCAAATATTCTACTGTGACTCGAGTGAAGTGTACCCAATATGCAATGGGATAGTACGGATATAGCTTCACATGCATGTTCTTTAGTAGTGAGTTGAGATGGTGTACATATTTACAATAATTTAATGTTCCACTTAAAATATTTCATATTTTATGCATTTTTTACATACCCCAAATAAAAACCAGACGGTGGTTCAGTTAATATGATACTTATAAACCTGCATAAATACATATAAACAACGCATAAATCAAGAAAAGGCATGCGTAACTAATTTTTAGCACATTAATCATAGATGTAGATAAGAAATAAGCGATAGTAATCCAATAAATTAATTTGAATAATTATGTGTAAAAGGCCGAACGAGAGTGATACTCTCCAGGCCGGACCAATTACGGTTACTGCACTGTTTACTGCATACAACTATGCGAGATATCTACAAATCAAATCCCGCAATTGAAGATGGGAGGACAACCCGTATCGTAGATTAATACATGTATAAGCCTATGTATGATTGAAGATGCCGATGCAGAGTTCCCAAAAAATTTCCGAATTGCTCAAATCGACGATTCTCATTTATTGGGATTGTAAAACAATCGGGTTTCAAGTAGACATGCACCGAGTACCGAAAAAGTCGACTCGGCCGAGCACCGAGTACTCGGCTATATTTTTGCCGAGTACTCGTTTCTGCTCGTTTGCCGAGCACCGAGCAAAGCTCGGCAATCGAGTACCGAGCAAGGCTCGGCCACCGAGTAAATTGTCAAAAAGATCATCAAAAAAATCATTGTTTACATAATATTTAATTACCAGTGCCTTTATTTTGAGAACTGGTGGACAGAATGACGTGAAACTACTGATTCTTCCGCCTGTTCCAACATTTCGATTAAAGTTGATTACCGAATAGAATTAACAAATTTCATGGGTGTATTTTCAAGTAAGTTTGATTTTGATTGCAAAAATCACATGATAATTTGAACTGCACAGTGTATGTAAGTACCGGGTAAAGTGGTACTGGATACATATAAAAATTTAAGAAATACTCGGCCGAGCACGCAAAAATACTCGGCCGAGTCCGAGTAGTGAGAGCACGGCCAAAATCTGCCGAGTACTCGGCAGCGCCGAGTACTCGGTGCATGTCTAGTTTTGACAAACCCTAGCAAACGGTTTCGGGTCGGGTTTTAAAAAGGGTTTTCGGGTTCGGGCCGTAAAAACCCAGACACCCTAAATTTATTTAATTTGGTGGCATATACTTATGCTTGTACATATGTCCTTATGTTGTG